AAAAAAAAGAAAAAAAAATTAGAAATATTCTGGGTCAGTTCTTACACTGATATAAAAACATGCTGATATAAACAGAGCCATGATAATTTATATTAGCTGTAGAATTTTCTCTTACTAAACTCAGTTACTGCCAGACTGTTTTGTATAAACATCTCCATAAACAGATATCTGTTAATCCAGCATCTTAACATGAAAGAAGTACCAGTGTTACTTCAAAATCAAAACTTCAAGAACAAGAAAATCTCAGAAATGAGTGGAGTATTTATCCAATATATTCCAAGGGAACATCATAAGAAAATATTTTGGAATAAATACATATTTGAGCCATAAATCCTGATGAATTACCACAGGGGATTTTTCCCAGAAAAGAGCTGCAAGACGTGGGGGTTTTTTTGCTGTTGGCAAGACAAATCCAATAGGATAGCTGCTAAGAAAGCATTTAATAAAGGTCATACTTGAGCCTTCACAAACAAGAATTTTAATTAATGCCCTAGCAGTCAGCAATTAAGTTTGCACATCTGATAGCTTTACAATATAGACTGGAGAGCTGCATCAAACTACATACTTTTACATGCCAATTGCTACGGTCAGGAGTTCAGTCTTCTGGTTTGATTCAGAAAGCCAACGACCTTGTACAGAAACCAGGAAATGTAAAGGTGCTCCTGCCCTGGAAGATTCAACTGTTCCCTGTAATCATATCCAGTAGATGGATGCTGGGCCCATACCAGCCATTAACTTAAGAGCACCCCTCAAGAGAGATACTAGCAACTTAACATAACATTAGAAAAGACTCTTCAGTTAAAGGAAACTGAAGCATATGATAACAGTTTAAACCTAAAACCTAAATGCATCTCAACAGCCAAGGTATAAGCCAGCTTAATTTTTTTGCACAACTAGCACGAGACAGAGCCAGTCCTCTAATAAGGGATGGATGTAGTAGATTCAGTCCCATTGCCCATTTTCAGGTTTATCTTAAACCACAACAAATAACAAATGCAGTGAGCAAAACGGAATCTGAACTGAGGCAAGTAAAACCAGGCACTGCCAGGACAAATTTTTCTACTACTTGCTAATCTGTCATAACATTTCCACCATAGGGCTAGTAGCGAGCTTGTCCTGTCACTATACGTTACAGGTTAAAAATCTGAAAAACCCAGGATGCATTCACTCAGAATATTCACAGCACCGAACACAACAGAGCTTCAGGGTACTGCAGCAGAACCCAAGGCCTATGGCACTTCACTGTAGTGCAGGATAGGGAACAGGTGGCCAAGGTTAGGGATAAACTAGGTCCCACAGTAATTCCGCTTGAGCAATCCTGTTTGTTCATTCCTTGCACAGCTGGGGATGCAGATCACCAAGCAGAGGTGGTGCAGGCCCACCAGCAATCAATCGCATGACAGCTCCTCTGCATTGACTCTTCAGTGAGTGCTGTGGTTTGCCCAGCTGTGGAAGACAACTGGGAAACGCCATACTCTGTTTCTGCTCTGCGATACACCTAACCTTCTTCACACAGCTTCATCTGCTCCTCGGTTCCTTTTTCCCCCCAGAGCTTTGCTGTGCTAAAAAAAGGCATCTTTGATTTTCTGATGCTTAGCTCAGTTTTTAATCATGCCATTCATTCTTGTGTCTCTTGATTCTCTGACCTTTGTTTCTGCTTGCTCCTGTTCTCCCTTGAAGGTGCTCTACGGTCTGACCTCTGGGGCCCGAGCGACCTGGTGGGCATTATGGGTCTTACACACTCCTTAAAAGCCAGTTCTACCCTGGAAGCAGCAGCGTGAACAGGCTAGTTCACTGTCCAAGCCCATGCAGACATGGTTCTCCTCCCCAAGAGTTTTGGCTGAACGTTTTCCAACCGTTTGTCCAGACTGAGGCATTAGTAATTCACTTAACATAAACTAGTGAAGAGTATACCTCATTGAATAGCATAGACTGTACTTGCAGACTTTAACCAAATGTGGAAGGTGACCTACAGGTAGTAGTAAACTAAACAGATGATCCTTCTTGAGCAGTTGCATTCGTACATCTAAGTGGACTGGTGCTGTCATCTTTATAAATATTGTATTGCATTGTAATTATTTTAGCAAAATAGTGAGTTACAACACTAGTATTTTTGTCACTAACTGTGTGGAAATAAGAGATAATCTGCCACTATTCAGCAATGACATTATAAACTGGAGCGGACAGCATCCTTGTGCCTTCAGTCTTACTGAAACCGATTACAGTCAGTGTTAACACAACTGCGAGCACTGACATAGCAATAAGAACTAATACGGACTGGCAAAGAACTGACATATTAAAGCACATCTGTAAAGTGGAGGAGCCCAAGAACACCATATTTTGGTTTTGCCAATTCTTTGTTTATCAGCAATTTTCTGGCACGGGGTATATTCCAGGAATATAGAAGTTCTTGTGATCTTTAAGAAGGGAAACAGATCCAGGGAAATTATAAATGTCCAATTTAATTCAAGTTATTTCAAAAACATGTGAACCAACTACTCTTCCTTGCCTGAGTCAATATAATAATGGCTAGGTAAGTAACAATCAAGGATCTGCCAAGAAGAAATTGTGTCTGACCTGGATATTAGAAAGAAAACTGACCTGTTTTCCTTCCAATATCAGGTATTAGGGTGGTACAAATCATGTATCTTGACTTGAACAACTGTATCAGATGTCACATAAAAGCTGGGAGAATGCAGTCTAAATAAACCCACTGTAAGACAGAGGGAAATCATACTCAAAAGAGTAATCAATTGTTCCCTGACAGAGTGAAAAGAAGTGTTGTATTAGATTCCAAAAAGTAAGTAAAGGCCAGTATCGTACAGCATTTTCATAAATGATTTACAATAATTAGAGAATATGTTTATTAAATTTGCAGATGACATCTAGCTGGAAAATGCTGCCAACTTGTTGGAGGACAGGGTTAACATACAGAGCAAAATTAGAGAAATACCTTAAGGGGGAAAAAACCTGTTAGACACCAAGTTCTGACACTTGCATAGATATCAACAATATGGGACAGGGAAAAAGCAGGCTAAGTAACAGTTCTAAGGTCAAATCTGATGAATAGTAGACAAAGAAGGGTGGAAGGGAGAAAGGAGAAATTATGATTGCAATCTGAACACGTTAACAATATCAAGCTGTGATGGCAAAAATGTCATAATATGAAGTGTAACCATGAACAGAGCTTGTAAATTGGATGAAAAAAAAAATCCTACTGCTGCTTTTCTTGGTTTTTGTAAGACTGTAGTCTGACTGCCATGTCTAGTTTTAATAGACAGATCTAGTCCACTTAGTGAGAGTTCAGTAAAGAGTGAGAAAAATTACGAGCACATTACAAGCAATGGAAGACTGCAGGAGCTGAGGTTGTCTAATACACTGAAGAAAAGACTAAGGGGAGGTTCAGACAACATGCTTTGCACATATAAAGGTTAACTGCCACGAGTAAGAAAATAAACAGTTCGCCACAGTAGTGGTGGTCATGGAACAGTTGACATAACATTCCTCGTAGGGAATTTCCTTTGGATATTAAGGCTTTCTACCAGGACAGGTAGGTAGAAGCTGGTTAGCTTGCCTAAAAATGTTGTGAAACCTACTTCTTTTATTTTTTTTAAAGAAACAAATTAGACAATAACTGTCGGAAGTGATTTACATATAGATGACCTTGCTTTGGGTAGAACAATGATTGGGTAGTTTTAGCATGATGCTTCAACATAAAAATTATGTATGGCAGTATTTATTAAGATCTGAATATGGTACATAGAAAAGAAAAGTAAGTATTCAGAAAATGCCCAAAGTTATTTGGAAACGAACTTTGAACCATATACTTAGCTCATATTGCAACACCACAAGTTACATGTTTACTTGCAAAGTTCCATACAACTGAAATGAAAAAACCCAAACTTCCCCAACTATTCATATCCTGGTCATGATTTCTACATAATGTTCTTGCAACTAAACAAACAGTTTAGCAGAAAACACAAGTAATTTATTTTACAGGGCCTTTTTTTTCTATATTTCCTTCAAAATTCTGAAGTGATTGGAAGATAAAGTTTTTATGTAAACTGATGATTTTAAAGAATAATGCTTCTAAATAAAAAAAATGCTTCACATCTTCATGTGTATCAGTTCCACAAAGAATATTCCAAGACATTTTACATTCAAGTCAGTAAGACAGAATGGTATAATAAAACAAATCAGCTTGCAAATACATACAGTATTACAGACTAAGAATTAAAATCCATTTATGCACCATCACAACAGTGAACTGCAATTTATGATGACATGAAGTTTAGTACCTGAACCAGGGAAAAAAAAAATTAGTAACGATAAAATAATTTAGCTTTATTTAATAAAATCCTCTGATACTCTTACTGTTCCAAGAAATGCAGAAACAAACATTTCCAGATTTTCCTTCATCCCAAATGGGAACATTTAGCAAAGGTTTTCTTTTTCACTTGCCTGAAGCAAGTTAGGGTAAATGTCAGACATACATTTTGAAAATTATTATGTATTGCAATATACCAATATTGTCTTTCTGATAACAGCAGCACCATCTACTGGTCCAAAAGATCCTTTCAAATTTTAGAAAAAGCCGTGGAGAGTGATCCAGCCAAAATGATGCAAAATGCTACTGAGAGTAACGCATAGTTTTTCAGTCCCTGGATAGCCAAAGGGAGAGAAAAAGAAAAATATCATGTTGTCATTCACACACACACAAAGAAAGTACAATAAATAACTAGGGTTTCATTTTATGACAAAATTAACAAATCCATTACATGAAATGGTAAATTTTATACCATTTTATTTCATTTAATGTTTGTAACATATTTGCTGTTCAAAATTTTTAATACAAGTAACCTATGATGCCATACACTTACTAAAATATTCACAAAATTAATTCAGCAATATTTAAAAGTATTTTTAAAGGCATTTCTCTATTTTCAGATTATTTTTAAGCAGTAAGCACTTATGCAGAGACTATTCTAAAATGTAACAAAAGAGTGAAAGATTTGGTGGGTCACAAAGGTTTGGATAACGAACATGATGGTCTTCATTAATGTGCAGTGAGAGAGAGAGAGAGAACTTCTAGGTCCTGATCCAAGGATGCCTAACGCATTTTACACAGTCACCAAAAATATTGGGAAAGATTATCTCCAATGGCAAATTAGGTTCCTATGGATCCTGGACAGATTAGCTAAGGGAACCTGAGGATTACACTGCTGGCACTCAATGCTTCAAATTCCACTACAAAAATAATTTCTGCCATATATGTTAACATCCAGTAGAGTAAATTAGCCTATTCTAGGCAATCAGTGCCACATCAGTTTAGGAATCTCTACATTATACTGTAATTAGCAAGGTCAACTAACCTCTGTCTCATTTTTTAGTCCTTTGGTGAATCTGACTCGAAAAGTCTAATCTGCTTGTCCATGTGATTATTAGGACAACATTCCCCTGCCCCCACTGAAAGAACTGGCACAAATAAAGATTGTTTTCAGGCTGTGCTTGGCATCCTGCCTCCTGGCCCTGCTACAGTCTTCATTTACTCCCACTGCTGCTCATACAGTTACGGAATTCAAATCTTCATTCCTGTAAAAATTGTTCACAGTTCTTCATCTTTCTTGGAAAACTTAGTATTGTATGATACGACTTTCAGTTTCATAATGCAATATTTGTAAGGAGGAGAAATCTAAAAATACAGCTGTATACCAAGTCATGCTGTTCCTAGAGCCAGAGACAAGGAGAGATACTAGGTAAGAGACCAGTAAGATTACCTTGATTTCTTTAAATACAAGGACTCCCCACATTGCAGCAACAAGGCCAGGACCCTAAAGAATAAGATTCATTTGTACACTACAGCATTTCATTAAAATGTGCCGCCTTCTCATTATTGTTCTCAGGGTGGTTGAATTTTGTCTGGATAACAAATTTAGGCCTTTCCATTCCGTATAATTACAGCACTCATGGCAAAAGCATAAACATCACTGAAATCTTTATGAAGTAAGACACAACAAAATCTTCAAGACAGGCTAAAGAGGCAAAAGAATTTTTTTCAGAGAAGGCACAATTTATTTCTAAATTACACTGCGGAGTCTGCACTGGCTGTTATACGTTGTTTTAGTAGGCTCCAAACAATACGTCTCACTTTGGTCCAAACTACAGTCCACAATGTTACCACATTTCAGAGGATGATTCAGGTTTACTGGCAGCTACCACAGATATTCCTAACATTTCCTTTATTAGCATGACTAACTAGTTGCACAAAGTTTGATTTTATCACTAGGTATGATATCAAGAGACAGGAACATAAAAGCAAAGCCAGCCAGATAGACAGGTCAGGAAAACTACTGATTATCTGTGATGTTGTCATACAGATTTCCTAGCTAACAGCAAACAGCGATACACAATGATAATTTCCAGGCACTCCTGGTAATATAGTTTTTCCCCTGTGGGAGTAGCTATCTGAATTTTCATGACTGATGAGAAAATATTATGAGATATGAAGTGAAAACTGGCTCTGTTAATGTTTCCCATTAGAGCTGCTCTCAGAAACACTTGACAGATGTTTGGACAGCGATCTTCCTCTCTCCATCTTCAGTACCACTAATAGGACAGATTTAGGCCAGCAGGAAATGGTGTCTCATGCTGAATGTATTTGTGGGTGTTGTTTCCTAGCAAAATTGCCAACTATTATTTGAATAATAGCTAAGGTGTTATTTCACTAGGTAACATATGCTGCGAGAGGAATGCATTTTAAAAATGAAAAAAATTGCTAAAGGGATGTGATGAATAGCTGTCTGAAATTCTCTCGAGGATGAATTAAAGCAGCAGTTGCGAACCTGTGGTCCAGACAGGCAGTTTCTCATCAGTGCCGTCCTTGATTTTTTCATTTCGTCATTTTATATCCTTGCCCTTTAGGTATACTGATAACTGAGTTACTAAAGCTGCTTTCCACTAATCCTTCAATTTCTAATTACAATGATCCCAAGTCTTTTTTTTCATTGCATACTGCAGAGTTTATTCTGATTTACTGCATCTTGAGGCAAAACTTAATCCCTATTAATGTTGTTTCATTAGTTCGCTTCCAAAATACCACTGTTAGGAAAACTTTGTTTTTCATATTTATGAACTCTCATTTGCCAGAATTTATCCACCTTTGCCGCACCATCTAGTAGATTGGCAAGAGAGTAAAGGCAAAGTTTATTTTTACCTAGTGATGGAATTTATGCAGCTTCTGGAAATTAACAGTGCTTTAAAGGTACAGTATCGTAAATGGGAATAAAACAGACAAAACAGGCCAACCTATTTTTCCCTCATTTGCCTAAGAACATTATTTTCAGCAATAGATAATCTGTTCTGTGTGTTCAAGAACTGTAAAAAGAAAAAATACCTGACTTAACTAAGCAAAATGACTGCTAAAGGATAAAAATCACAAATGAAAACATCCAGAACAAAATGTACTTGCTGGGATGAAAGCATAGAATGTTTCTTCCTTTAATCACTTAAGTTTACTATTTAATATTGATATAGTTCTGGTTACGGAGCTTTTGCTTTTACATAACCTCACACTTTCAATTCCTCTATTTTTTTGTGCTTGGCGTTCACCAAGATGGTGCTTGTCACAGTCATGTATGTTCCTAAAAAACCAAAGGCTAGCACAGACAAGCAGAAAAACAGGCAATGTATACTCTTGATTAAAATGCTCTAGACATGTCACAATTTCAACTTAATTCCACAAATCGGGGGGAAAAAAACCCTTCACTTTTAATTCTAGTCATTGATTTTATTTTTTATATACTTACTGCAGTAATTATTGGAAAACTGACCACAGCACTGAGATAGTGATTGGCTATGAACCAGCAGCAATTGGCTATTGCCCAAAGCACACCAGAAACAAATCCTAGAAAAATAAATTCCAATCAAACACATGCACACCAAGGTACAGACAGCAATTTGTGGAACATTTATATTTATAGCATAATACAGAAACTATGTATTTTAGTATGTTAACTACTTTAACAAGTTGGCTCTGATAATATAAGCCAAACCTCAAGGGATATAATCAGCTACTCCAACTGCAGTAGCAAATTAATTAAAGTTCACAATTTTCTGGGCAATGTGCTCCCCACTCTGGCAGAGTCAGTTTTGAAAATCCGCCACATGCAATATCATTTTGTTCTAATTTCAGATTAGAACAAAATTTATCATTGTTTCCTAACCTTAATTAACCTAATAGGTGCGATCTTGCAAAAGAGACAAAAAGTCAAACGAAGAGACTTGAAAGGCGAACTACAATTCCACACATAGCTTGAACTAATCACTGCCAAACAGTCAGAAGTAGTAACTGAAATTAATTGCTCATTTAAAAACCAGTCATACCTGGCAATATGGCTTGGGGATAAACATTAGGTTTATTTTTCCTGAATACACAGTAGATCAAAAAGTAGATGGTACTTGTAAGAAATATTCCACTGAAGTGTGCAAAAACATAATCTAAATCTGAAAGAGAAATTATAAAATTATATTAGTTCAAAACACCAGTTATTAATTTTAACTAAATTTATTTCACTGATAGCATTCACACAGACAAAAACACATAAGGTACTACTGCTAACAACTCAAATTCAATTGTGATTGTGAAGAATAAAGCTGCCAGTCTGACTGCGGATGGATTTGGTCTATCACACATATATTAAACATGAACTAATAGCTGCATTGACCCTAGGATTTATCACAAGCTTCTATGCATTTCTGTGAGTTGTTATTTTCAGAACTCTATTAGTCAAACTACTGAATTAATTTATTAAAAACTTCAGAAAATCCTCAGGTGAGGCTACGAAACTGGGGTGGGGATTTTGCATAATTACATCCTCTCCTCACCATCTACATTTGTATTCCTGTATATAGCCTTGTTTCTTCTCTATACATTTAAGGGCAAGACAACTGCACATACTGTATAGCTAAACATGACACAGTTTTGTCCTTTTTTTTTATCTTGAAGAATGTATCACAATTTTGATCACTACAATCATTAACAATAATAAATCCTTCATAGACTGGGTATGCGCTCAAGAGAATATTTCCCATATGGTAAAGCAGAAACATGTAGCAAGGTGATCTCTGTCTCCTTGGAGTTGTAAATCCTCGACAGGAAAAGCAGCTACAGTAATGATAACACCTGTTTTGTCTAGCTGGGGAATATCTAAGTGCAGTATTCAAGAGAAATTGTATGTGACATAACAAACAATTTCTTAATGGCAACATTATGCGGTCTCAGCAATATGCTGCTTTTAAGCTGCTGCTGGTATTACCTGATAGACTATACACTAAATCTTAAGGAAAATGTTTCTGAGGAAATGTTGTTTGAAACTGGTGATTAGGCTTATGTTAAAAGCTTTCCATTTCAAAGACTACAAGGTTTTAATTACTTATGTTGTTATATATCTCTTCTGCCCACCAATTACAATCAAGCTTCTCCTCTTCCTTTACTGGTGTACTAATTAGGTAATTGGTACAGCTTGTGCCCTTATTTACTTCATGTTCCTGGCAGATGAGCTTTGTATTTTGAGAATGCTAGCTATGTTTCAGAAGGCATTAAACACTATGAGTTAAGTATGGTATCCTCTGGGCTGTTTCTCACTGTTCTTTTAATGGTGTAATTCACCTCTGGGAAAAAGGGAGTACTAGTACTATGGTTACGACAACATATAACATAGTGCAGAACTGGTAAGTTGTCATGGTATGTTTCCAGCCATATCAAGAATTTCACTCTATGCCTTTACGAAAGCAGTAGACCACAATATGCTGATGAAAGAAAGTAGAAGTAACCTATTAGCCTTTACCAAATTGACTTGCTCCTGTGTATATAGTTTCATTTCTTCTTCCATGGTCCTTGATGTAAAGTACTGGTACAAAACTGGAACCGTAGAGCATTCCAGCTACTACAGCCAGGCTACATCCTCTTTAAAAACAGCAAAAATCAGAGAAAATAGCCTAGTGTTAGTTAGGGAAGTAGACAATACACTTAAGACAAGTCCAGTATTGCAGTTAAAGACTGCGTATCATATGAAAATTGCTAGCAACACTATAAAAATAATACATTTTTATTTTCTAGTGTAGAAATGGTTCAATGTAGTAACTTAGTTTTCCTATACTTTGTGGCCATGTAGCACAGACAATTCCTGCCCAAAGAGCCTGCCAGTCTAGATTAATGACAAGAGAAATAAACTAACCAGGATTTCCTAAAAGCAGAGCTAGGAGAAAACCAACAAAAATATAGTTAAAATGCTCCCAACATCAGCTTTACTGTTGCAGTCTATATATTCTTTATAACTATTCCCAGGTTCATTGCCTTCATGGTCCCCTTCTCCGCCTCCAGATCATCTTGTTCTTTGCTGTCTCCACTCCCCACAGTAGCCCCTTGCTAGCTGCTGCTTCCAGCTTGGAGCACTTCTGCTGTCTCCTTACCATACTGCCATGCCTTCTCCAAATGTATTCACTTGGAAACCACACCTGGAAGCATGTTATTAGCATAGGCTCCTTCTATGCTGGAGTTAATCAACCAGGTGGTAAAAAACAGCTCTGTAATTAGTTGGTATTGCTATTTACTTTGCAAATGTTGTTCTTTTGTAGTAGCAGTAGTAACTAATACTTACTTGATAAGGTAAAGTACGCTCAACAGTGTGAAGGAAAAAATCTAATAAATTGAGCAGCTATTCATATATAGATATGCGCATTAGACTAGCACTTTAAAAACTGTTAGTGCATGACTGCCAGGAAAACCACAAGACACAAATTCAGTTCTTCCTCTGCGTTCAACTACTTTCTCTGGCTACTTGGCCTGCACCAGTAAAAGAACTGTTAATAACTTACATGAGTCTTTTTTTTGCTGGAGAAAGTCTGTTCACCCATGAGTCATCAGAGGTATCTTCAGAAACATTAATAGACTGCAAAAACCCAAGAGTTTTCACTCAGGTTTGTTTGGCTTTTTTTTTCTTTTATAACTCAAACATTGTATTAAACAGAACAGTTTTGGTCTAAGAAAATAAAATGAAAATGGAAGGAGAAGCAATAGGAATTTACAGAAATACTCTAAAGAAAGGAGAAATACATAGTTTTTTTAAAATAACAAAATAAGATCTACCTACCTCGAAGTTTACGAGTTCGGATATGGATTTTGGGTTTACTACATAACAGAGCACTCGCTAGCATTTTTTTTTTACATCTGCATGCAGGTAGATCTGACTTTCAAAACTCGTCCTTTAAATTTGATGAATGATTTAATCTATAGATTTTATTTATGATGTGGTTTTGCCTTCTGTTGATAGCTCTGGTGTTACTATCAGAATATTAGTACTATTTGCAAACAGGGAAATTAACACTCCTGTCTGCAGCATAAAGAAATTGCAACATCCCTTTATTCTAATCCTACAACCAGATTGTCTTCTGTGATTTGCTCTGGTAGACTGGAACCTCTAGTGAGCATTGAGCACAGCTAGAAAACTCTGAGGGGCTCTCTGTTCAGGTAGCAATTGAGTTTTGATGCATCACTGACCTATAAGAGTAAGGTACAATGGTAGTAGGAGCCTACTGTTCTCTAGCTTTTGTTGCATGCTTTGGGCTCCCGAAGGAGCGACAGCCAGTCTGGCACCCCTCCTTGGCCTCCAACCTGTGCCACAGCTGATGCTGAGAATCAGCAACTCTTGACAGTCTTCTGGCTCAGTAAGGTGGCAAAAATCTGGTGGATAAAAGTTATACACCCTGTTGCCTTTCATTTAAGCACCCTCCTAGTTTTATAGTTAAGTTTTAATTAAAATTGCTTCCTCTTCTCAGATAGGAAAGTAATACACTCTGTCTTTTATATAAACTCTGTCATAATGAAAAAGGACTTCTAAGGCATTTAAAGCTGACAATAGAGGAAGAACACTTGGGAAAACCTTTTCTGTTGCTCACATTCGACTGGATATACAAGATCCACAAATTAAATACAATCAATGTATATTTATGTAGTTTTATGTAGTCTACCACAAATCCTAGCAAATCTGGTTAACATTAAGCAAATTTTTTGTTTTTAAATGGATATGTACTTTCACTGCTGTAAAATAATAACTGTAGAATACTTACACTTTCTCTCAGTAAAGGCGTACTTTCTAATGAAGCTGAAGAACTCTGAACTTCAGTTTTTATAAAAAGAAATATGACAGCACTCAGAAGAGAAAAATACACCAATAAATACCATGTCAGCTCGTAAGGATATAACATTTAGCATCCAGAGACAAAAGTTATATTTGGAGGCATATTACTTTATTTTCATTATTGCCCTAGAATCACTTCAATATATTTTAAAAATGCAATTGCTTTTAACAGTCTTAACAAACAACTTGAGTGAAAGTAAGTAAATAAATTAGCCTTTTTATAGATATTCTCATTTTATAGATCTCTTCTACCTAATGGGATTGAAATGTCTCCTTTTTACAGTGTGTAGTTACAACCACATGCTAACAACTGTTGCTTTAGTGCTTTTGCACTAAACCACACATACAATGGAACACCTGCATGAAAATTCTATGGAACTTAAACCGGCACAGAATTGGCTCTGTGCTCAAGCAAGGTTTTAGTCTTCTATCATAGGAGGTCGCGAAGACCTTATCGCTCTCTACAGCTACCTGAAAGGAGGTTGTTGCAAGGTGGGGGTTGGTCTCTTCTCCCAAGTAACTAGTGATAGGACGAGAGGAAATGGCCTCAAGTTGCACCAAGGGAGGTTTAGATTGGACATTAGGAAAAATTTCTTTACTGAAAGAGTGGTCAGGCCTTGGAACAGGCTGCCCAGGGAAGTGGTGGAGTTACCATCCCTGGAAGTATTTAAAAGACGTGTAGATGTGGTGCTTAGGGACATGGTTTAGTGGTGGACTTGGCAGTGGTTAGACTTGATGATCTTAAAGGTCTTTTCCAACCTCAACGATTCTATGATTCCATATGTGAGTGAGGGAATACTGTTCCTACAGGGCCTCATGCATATGTGGAAGGAGAACGGATATTGCTCAGTGGTGCTTCAGTGCACTAAGTGAATAAAATGAATAAGAAAAGGTAACGTTACTACTTGTATGCCCAGCTCCAGTAAATAAGGTAAATACGTGTAATCAGAACTGGTAGGGTCTGTTTTTTATTTTTATGCAAGATATTTTAATGATTCAGGAATTCCTTCTCATAGCTGTAAATTGAATGTCTCTATTTGAAGAGTGATTCATCTCCTGCTGTTTTTTTTTAGGAATAAGGATAGATATAAAAGGATGTCAGCTTCCTCCAGAGGGACTAGGCAAACATGCACAGGTTCCATACAGGAGGTTAAAATTAAATACATGCTTCTGAGCTCTGCAGAGCAACATACACAGGCTTTGTGCAGCTTGCCAGGAAAACATGTTTGGTCAGGATCTTTTTCCCTGTTGATCACTTCTCCATGATATCTCAGAAACAGGCAGGAAGCAGGTGGTGAGCTGAATGAATTCACCAGGCAGGAATAGCAGTACTGCTACTATTTTGTGAGTACCTCACAAAATCACATGCTACATGTAACGGCAATGGGTAAAAAACTGCAGAATCTTAGGAAAGAGTTTTTTTGCAAAATTCATGAATCTAAGGCAGCAGCTCTCTCCTAGCAATCAAGAATGGCTCCATCATCTCCATGTTCTTAACACCCTTCTTTCCTAAAGGCATTATGTGCATCTGCTGTTTAGCACACTTATGGCAAACTTACTGCCCCCGGGATTTAGGGCCACTGTTATGTTCCTAGGAATACCCTCCTGGCCACCCAGTTGGAAAGCAAGAACACTGCTATGCAGCAAAGACCCTCTTTCCTCTGTGTTTGGACCAAAATGTGCACTCATACAAATAATAAACAAAAAATAAGAGTAGAAGTCCTTCTGAAGATCCCAAAGGAAGCCACTGCTTGGGAGTTTTTCTAAGCGTGGCTGAAGAGTTACAGGACAGGGAGCTATTAAGGACAAGAGATAATGCAAAGCCTCTGGCTCTTCATGGACCCCAAAGGATCTGGGAGAGGGGTCCTGTGGCATATTCTACAGTTAAGAGGAAGGATTTGTACCCCTGACTGAGTGAAGTGAGATTGGAAATCTCACAGAGGCTTTCTCGCCAAGATTCTTCTACCAGTTTTTCCTCTCTCACAAAATTTGGGGAAAGTGAACCATTTGAATAACCTAGCTAGGGAGACAATCAGTGCATCACTGCTTTGCCTTGAACATGCCTACCAGCATAAAAGTATATTTCTGCGTTTATGAATAACCATTTCACCACTGTACTGGATATCATGTATATTTCTATTCCAAAATACAACACTGACCAGCTAGGTATGGATAGCTCATGAATTCTGCAGTAAATCAATTTGCAAAAAATACTTCAATATATTTGCCCTCTAGTTAAATTGTCCCTGTGGTTATTAAATATATACTTTACATTATAGAAATTTATTATAAGAGTAAATTTTTACCTTAGTAGTGAAAGTCCAGCTCCAATATAATTTAAGATTGGTCTTGACACCTCTTCTGGGTCAATTCCAAACCAACCAAACCTGGAATATTTAACCAGTTTCACTTAGTTGCACTGACTGCATACAAATAGTTAAATTATAACCCAGTCTTGGAAATCTTTACTCATGTAAATAATTCTGCTTAAGTTTATATTTGCAATATTGGATCGGTGCTTCAGTTGGCTTGCACTATGTCTACTTTACAAAAATCATCTTTAAACTAATTTAATTTACATTGATTTTTTTTAATCTGGGTATTTAAAAATTGAAGTTAATTTAAATTATTTTATCAGCCCATGCTGCAGAAGAAAAAAAAAATACAAACAGTGAACTAGTTTTACATTAAGAAATACACTATTTATTCACTCAATTATGTTAGTGAACATCACTGGGCATTCTTCTTCCCATTGAGACAGAGGAAACACAAAAAGATAAAATAATTAACCTGAGTACTTTCCACTGAGAGGGAAAAAGATCTTACATATATCTGATAAATCCTCTTTATTGGTGATAGTGTTTTCACTGCAGTTATTAATGAGAATTAGCAATATTGATTATGTATGACTTAAGACTTAAACATACTCACCTGGAACTTGCCCAACCTGTCAGCAAATTAAAAGAAGCCCATATCAAAAGACCAAGAGCTAAGCCAATAGTTTTAACAATAGGGACAACTGTAACATTGCCTGAAATACAAAAAACAAAATTAAAATCAGGTAAAAAGTAGACTGTGATCTTGTGTATTTTTGTTTTAGATTCTGTGACTGTTCGGAAGGCAAAGAAATTCAGGCAACTACAAGGTGGTAGGAAATAGTGTTTTTTAAAAATAAATACATTAAACATGGACTTTTCCTCAATACCATTTTTGAAGTTATTTTTTGTGTGAATTTGCTGCTTATAAATGAGCATAATAAAATAGTATTTGCTATAAGGGTACAGCTCCATTAATACCAAGACTTTAAAAAGCCAAATAACTACCAAATAACTACTACCTTACATATGGAAAAGTTTTTATCACTCTTTTTTTATGATGAGTTAGGATTACTTTGTGTTTCAAGAAATAGAATTTCTTTATCCTTACCTGTAGCCCACACGAAACCCCCTACCATAGCCAGAGGCCAAAACCGGGGGCAATTCTGGATTAAATTGACTACCAAAGAAACTATCCATATAGAGGCACAGAGAATCCATTGGAAGAACATGCCTATGGAAAAATAAAATGCACACAATAGAGAACTTGCAGAATATTGCATGTGTGAATCTCCTAACATACTATGTTTTAGGTAAAATAGTACAGAAAAAATTGAAAGGTGGCTACCTCCTTTGTGAATTTCAGGGAACCATGTTACAATATATTCAAAAGATGTATTTTAGGGTGGGAGTGTTATAATTCTGTCAACTTTTTCCTTACCATGCATTCTTTATACACAGCTGCAAAAGACACTTTGCTGGACAAAGTTTACACAAGCCCTGATTCTCAAACGCATGAAAATTTTGACAGGCTTCTGACAAAGAGGATATTCAGTTACTGCAAATTTCTCCTACCATCCTGCAGCTAACACAGATGACTGCACAGGACAAAACTCCTTCAAAGCTCAGGCCTCAGGCTTTTCCACTAATCCAGGACATTGAGGATGATAAAAACTTTGGACAGATCTCTTCTACCTTTGTAGATTCTCTAAGGATCAACCAGGCATACCAGTTGACTTTATGCCAGCTGAGCTAAGACTTTTGCTTTAAAGTCTAGCCTTGTCTTGTTAGGACCATATTTGGCACAAAGAAGAGAGACAGGTTATATCCAGCCTGTAATGCAGATACTATTATTGCAGTAACATAGTGGCAGATTTATTAATCTAAGGATCTGCTAATTGACTATGCTTCATATAAATGTGCAAATACAACATGAACCTAGTACAGTAAAGTGATAAAATTCCAAGTAGGAAACAGAAGCGATTGTTTCCTCTTACCTAGTCACCAGATACAAGTATTAAAATTCCAATTTTTGATTGTTTTTATGTTAGGTCCACAACCGAAAGGCAATGCTCCAAAGTCCAACAACTTTTACTGTATAAATAACACTGTATGTATTTGAGAATCCCCACAAGGGTAGAAGAAAGGACATTTCACTTTCCATTGTGAAATGCTCATGAAATGCACATCACCATGGTTAAAGTGCACTACAACACATAAGGCTCTTCTAAAGATTTGCTGTATCCTGAACCGATACATTATTGCTTCATACCCTAACAAGCAAAGAAAATCAAAACATGCTCTATGGATGAAGGCTGTGATGGTATTTATAACTCTAGCTATAGAAACTCTCGTATTTCCTGGTAAAATATTATTCCTATTAGCAAAAATACCAAAACCAACAAAAGAATATAAATAAGTTTACCATCACCGGTATCAAATTTCTTAACAGGCACAAAGTTTGTCCCAAACAGAAGGACAGCTACTGTGGAAGAGGTAAAGCCAATAGCTAGATCTGTTCCATTGCTGATGTTAAAGGTACTGTAAGCTTTCCCGATGTTCATCTTTGTTCTGAAGGTGCCTCTTTTTGTGGAGTTGTTTTGCTGTGGGTCCTGACAGATTCTGAAATCAGAGTGTGGAATTAAACATGCGGAATATTAAATAATACCAACCTAGTTCAAAAATCTGAAACTTACAGGACCCTACTTATCAATCTCTCAAAAGCTGGAAAGAACTGCAAAGTATACTATAGAATCCCATGAAAAGCTGCCATAAAACGTGAATGAAGTAACTTAAGAACAGAGGCACAAAAAAATCACCGTTGTTTCATAATCAGCTTCACAGAAAAGATACGTGTCTGAAAACATACAACAACTTGAATGTAGAGATGCACTCAAAGGTTATGAGGACTCAAATCTGTGATGCTTATGGGAAGCCCTGACGCTTTAGGGAGATGCTCTGTCAGAATATTCCTTATTCCTGTAGCGAAGTGGTGTCTCACTGCGGTGTGTAAAAAAGCAGGGGTTAGACAAAACCTTAACTGGCAGAAGAAGCTATAGCAATTTGCAGCCCCGCTGCCTAGAAGTCAGGAACAGGCGCAGATTATGTAGATGCCACAGTGGGATCAATATAGGATCATAAGGTAACCATGGGGATTGCTCTAGCTGATACAAAACGCGAATAAAGGCTCATTTTTTCTGTGGGGAACAAAGGGAGAAGCCACATCTAAAGTTTCTTCATTCATTCCACATAACTATAATAAGAAAGGCAAAGATTTATTTTAATCCCATAATACCCCCCCCTTTTTTTTTTTTATTGGGAGAGTCATCTTGAGGTTACACTCAACAGAAGTACCACATATACACTTTTGATACAGATTAGGACTTTGACAGAAAAGGTGGCTCTGAGGAGAACTATAGTAACATGATCTTTGCATACATAATCTTAACATCACACTTAAAAGTCTACATATAAGAAAAGTGTTGGAAATTTAACTTCAAATGGCAACAGGATACTTAATATACTGTCAGTATAAAGCAGCATATTTATAGAGATACGCATGCAATTCTGTTGTCGAAGTAATGCTATTTATACTGAATCAAATGACATCCTAATGCAGTTTGACATTCCCCAGTGTAGGTGGACTAGCTACTGCCTGGAGGAAAAAAGCTGAAATAGGATGGTGGAAATTTTACCAAGTCTGGTAAGGGGTGCTGTGACTACACTCTCCACACAAAAGGAAGAGCTGAGCTGCTGCACGTTCTTTCATCTTATTTCACCCTCCAGTCTTACCTTCTCTGGAGTTCTTAGGACACTGAGAACTGCATCTGATGAGGTTGTGCTTTCATCTACAGCTTCAGCAGAGCCATCAGTGTCAGCTGAAATTAATTATTTGCATTAGCAGGTGAAAAGTTCAATCCCACAACTAATACAACCATTTACTTTCTGTAATTTTTCCCCTAGAAAGGTGTCAGTATATTTTTAACTTGAGTACTTAGGAAAAACACATGACATTTAGAAGACATATCATGAAGGTACAATGGCACAGGTATTTCCATTTGTCTTATTACCTTCTTCTCCTTCACTCTTCATCTTTCTTGCCTACTTAGAGGATAAGCTTCTCCAGTAAGTTTTCACTGTATTTAAGACTCTTTTATAAAGTATGTTTTACCTGGGACCTGTAGACACTGAGCAGTGCAAATAACAATGCTGGGATTTCTTCAAAGACTGACTTCACAGGCTAAGAAACACTGTGACACCACAAGAATGGATTAAGATAGATAAAGGCTTACATCAGCTATCTTCATTCCATCAAACTTGACTCACTGAGTGAATAAATTTAATTCATTTAGTGGACAAGTAACGCACAAGAGCTTGCTTTTGCACAGGAAGAACTTCATGCTGTTAAGGACATAGAAATAAACCTGATAATGCTGCACCTCTATGAATGCAGGACTCAGTACTTTAGCCTTTAAATAAATAAGTCATTATGCAGATGAAATACTAAGAACCTTTCAAATTTAAAGTGGTTTTTCAGCCTTTTTGATTTTGTTAACGTACAGAGAAATGTTACTTTAAAAACATTTCAGTTTTGTATCTATTAAGAGAAAACCTGTGTGCTGTGAGGCAATATACTTTTCTGCTTGCTTTTTATCTTCCAAAAATCTGTATATTATGCACATTGAAGGATGTTGCACAACTGGAGAACCAGAATCATGACACCAAAAATGGAAAGGAAACACAACTTCCAATTAACCATACAGACTGTTTAAAACTCTGTAACTTTCCAAGATGTGGGGCACTTGGTCCCCAAATTTGGCTAAATTTCAGACCCAACTTTCAACTCCATTTTAATGCCTTCAAGAGAAAGCTCAACCAGACAAGGCTACTGGAGCTACCATCATACTTCGATGATGCACTACTTTAAGCAGGGAGTTGAACTAGATGACCTCTAGAGTCAGTAACTTACCTTCCAAGCTAAATTATTCTATGATTGTATGATCCAATGTCAAGAGCAAATAATGAACTGGCACACAGCATTAAGTTGACTATACTTTTTTGCACACGCTTGCACATACTTTGTATTTCAGAGAGTTCACTAAAAGCCTCTTCTCTTCAATCCCAGGTATTGCCAGATTGACTTGCACCATATGTGCCTCCAAAGGTTTATAGCTACCAAATGCCAAACCAGAAGCACTTGTTGCAGCTGCTGAGATGTTAGAACGTTGTGGTTGTATCTGACACTGAAGCTGAGACAACTGAAATTGTTGCTGTTATTGAAGGGTTTTTTTCACTAAGTAGCCTTTACTGAAGGGCACATCGGGGTTCCCAAGCTGCAGAGGAATTATAATGGAATTTTGTTGCCTTTATCTTACTAACCTCACTGGCTTACCTCACTGGAAGGTTGTGCTCTGTATTTTCACTGTTTCCTCAGAAATATGCCACCATTTTCTTCTTTTGCACAGAGACACAACAAATTATGATGCTCACCTAATGCAGCAGCAACACATTGCTACAATCTCTGCAGACAGGCATGAAATCAAGAACCCTGCCCTTGAGTTTCCATCTCAAGGTAGATCCATGCTATTGTCAAGATCAGAAGAAAACTGTCTGCACTAACTGAACAGGTAGTTTTAGCGGTTGCATATACATTGACTGTTTATTTGCATGTTTCTCCTATCACCTATTTGCCGTTAAGGGTGGATACTTTCATCCTTATTTTAGGAAACTCCTCTCAGTCCAGAGGTGGCTCAGAGCGATGTCCTCAGGTGACACCGCAACTCCTGACTAGCTGCCAGAGAAACATTTCTTTGCTTCCCTAAGATGAACACCTTTGAAAGACGTTCTTCGGGCACTATTTTCAGTAGGCGGTACCACACAACAAGGGAAAAGGCGCAGCCGAGCCCTCGACATAGGCGGGAAGATGTTGCTTCTCCTGCTGAGGCCAACACGCCCGGGCTTCCGCAGGGCAGGCCCACGCTGCCAGCGGGACGCGGCCCGCAGACGGGGCAGGCCCAGCC